TTATAGGCATAGTGTACAACTTCACTCCAGATATCCCACCTCAAGCTGTAAACCATGAATTGTAAGCATCCATCTGTCTCAGGAGACAATGGAAGAGTACATCTTTGGGAGTGAAGTCAAACTTCTCTCTACACTGCTCCCGACAGTCATTCCTCCTCTGATCACTGCTGTGGATGCACAACCTGTCTGTCTCCAGGCCCTGCAATCGTCCACAAGGGATTCCCATACGGCAGGCGTAATGTTGCCAGCCTTCATGTCATGTGTGGTCACCAATGCTGATGCGTGGAGACATCCTGATTCAGGTTGCTGATTCAGGTTGCTGGTCTTTGTCAGGCTGATGGTGAAGCCGAACTCCATGGAGGCTTGGGCAAAATGGTTGATGTGTCTCTGTAGAGCTCCCACAGAGTGCGCTGTCAAGGCTGCACCAAGTGCAATCAACATCTCTCAGATAAGAACACGCCACACTTTTGTCTTGGCACAGAGATGTGCCAGGCTGAACAGACACCATTGCTCCTTCAATGGAAGCTGATGGCATAGGAGAGCAACAGGAAGAATAATATGCCAGAGAGAGTTGGGGTGAGAACACAGCCCTGTTTCATTCCACTCTTTATAGGGAAGGTGTCCAAGGATGAACCATCATACTGGACAGTGACATGCATGTTCTCCTGTAAAGACCTGATCATCTTGTTGAGCTGTGTGAAGAGTCATTTTTTGTTGAACAAGGTCAATGAAAAGGATGTGCAATGGGTGTCTCTGCTCTCAGCATTTCTCCTGCAGCTGGCTCAATGAGAAAATCATGTTGACTGACCCTCAAGCTCTAAAGCCAAATTGTGACTTGGGATAGACCCTGTCAGCAAGTGAGCATAAATCTGTTGAGAACTACTTGGGCAAAGGCTTTCCCCACAATACTCAGCAGAGAGATGCGTGTCTTGTGGCGCAGATCCTTCTTCCCAACACTGCAGGTAAATACCATGGAGGTGCATCATGGGGGAGGAAGTGAAGCCGGCTTTCAGCACTTCTGTTGGGATTCTGCCCTGTCCTGAGTCTTTACCACACATTTGAGAGTTGATGGAGCTTTTCAGCTCGTCAAGGGAAGCAGGGACATCCAGCTCTTCCAAGACAGGCAGAGTCTGGATGCTGTCAACTGCTGTGTCAAGAGACCATGTTTTCCTGGTAGAGTCTATTTGCTAATTAAACTCTCAATGTTTTTACTCAGTTGTATCATTTTATACTATTCATGTTTTATTCTCCTTTCTTTTTGCAAGCCACTTTAAACACTTGTTGGAAAAGCAGCGTATCAATGCTCAAAAACAAACCAAATAATGCAGTGCAGGCTAGAGACAAAGCAATGCCAAATGCTTTTACTGTTTCAAGTATCTGACGGGATTTGCTTTTACACTGTCAGATCTCTTGTGAGTACTGAGACAAGGCTTTATTGCCGAGCGTACCAGTTGAGCAAAGGGAGAAAAACACAGTAACAAGCAAAGCAAAGCAGTACCAATGCCCCAAAACAACAGCAGTTTTTGGGGCTGCTTAATGTCTACCAGCTACAACCCTTCAGGCTGCTATAACTTTCTCTGGCCATTCGCGGGAAACAGAATGGTTTCCTTTAGCTCCACCAAGACAAGTGGGATGCAACACAAATTTCAGTAGCTGGGAGCAGTTGTTAGGCAAAGACCATTAAGCAAAATCAGAAATGGGGTGGGGGGAAAGACGCTTGCCATGACCAAAGAGCAGTATTAACCAGTATTAACTATTGACATGATAAGGTTCGGGGGGCTTGATTACACACTAACCAATTTTCCATTCTCAAATAGTATAAGCAACAGAAGTATGCCAGAATAAGTTAAGGCCAGCCTCACACACCTGCGTTTTAGACAGAAATTTAATGTGCAACAGTTTTTTCCCCTCTTATGGACAGCTTGGATTAAGCATATGCACACTGAAAAGTCCAAGCACTGGAGCAGGATAGCAGGTCCTGATTTGTACCATGCCAAGTCCAGGTTTCCAGATAGTGCTGTTGTTAAGTTGGAATCTGGAATTGCTATACAAAACTCCTATTGAAACAAGACCAAAAGTGATTTTGCATACCAACCCCAGTATGCAAAAGTGGAAAGACATCTAGGTTAGATATTTATTTTAAAGGGAAGAACTGCCAACCATGGCAAAAAAGGACAATTCTCTATCAAATGTTGCCAGAGGGAAAGTTTAACCATGAAGTATACAGAATGAGAAAAAGCTCATAAGGAAAGCAGAAACAACAGAAATATTAAGGAAACTGGAATCAAATAAAGTCAACGCAAAATCTGCCTTGGGAGATCACTGATGCACACCCACCCACAAAGCAGGAGGCACAGAATCTAACACCAAAGAGTTCCAGCTTTCATTTAAAAACACAAAACAAGTTTCTAGTCCTTATGGCTTGAAATATGGGCTTTAAAGTAAATAGGCACTGTGGGGTGAAATTTCCAAAGCTAGAGTGGGGCTCAGTAGAATTTCTAGCTGTCAGACAGCAAGATATTAATGGCCTGCTTCACTTGTTTGCCCTTTCTTGCAGATACTCTGTATTTTGTGCACATTTCTTAATTTGCATATTTTATCCTGATTAATGAATTCAGCTCTCTTTTTTTACTGCATAATACCCTGCATATGTGGACAGCCAGAAGACAAGACTGAAACTAGCTGAAATGTTAAATGTATGATTTGCCTTTAACTAGTTTTTTTCATTCCAATAAAAGCTGCAGCAGGAGAATGGGGAAAATCAAGATCAGGACTCAGATGCACAAGAAGAGTTTTTTACTCTCCCGTCATGATCCTGATGCTCCCTTTCCCCAGGTGTTATTAACCCCAGGAAGGAAACTTCCATTATAATTGACCTTACTCAGTCCCACCCAAAGAACATCATGATGCAGTAGCCTTGCTTCAAAGCATCCCAAAAATAGTTATTTATTCCCATACATTTCCATCCCGTTCTTCCCCATAGCCCACCATGGGAGCCCAGAGCAGCTAACAACCCTAATTACAATAATCACAATCAAAACCCCATTTAAAATTACAACAAAATTAAAACCCTGCTTAATGTTAGCTGAAAGAAAAGGGCCACTGAATTTGGGTTCCCAAAGACTAACATTTATGTACTTTCATAACCTCTTGCTCCTGCTCAATAGTGTCACATGGAAGGTTAATCTGTATGCTTGCCAAGAGGCAGCATAGTAGCACTGGGAACCATTAGCACTGCCTTTTGTACCAGGATGAAGTATCACAGAGTCTGATAGCTGACATTTCCATGTATCAATGATCTTTGAGTCAGAGTGGAAATATGAGTATAAAGCGTCCAAAGATTTCTTTGGGCAGACTTCTGTGCATCCAACATATGCAATCATAGCTCCTTACAAAGGACCGCACAACAGCAGTTGCTGTCTCTTGGTCACAGACAGCTTTCCCTGAATACTGTATTCCAGTATCCAGCAGCAAATAAGCTGGCATGACAGCCCTGACTGCTGAATTACATATGTGATTCTAAATCAAAAACACACATTTACTTGGAAGGAAGCCCCAGTGATTTGACTTCTAACAAACATCAAGCTAGAAATGCATTAGACTTCAAGGCTCATTTAACCATAAGGACGTTATAATTTTTTTCATCATATAGGCATCCCTCCCTTCCTCTAAGGAACTCAGTGCAGTAGACATAGGATTATCCTATTTATTGTCACATTACCCCAGAGAGGCAGGGGAGACTATGATAATGTAGCATAAGGATGGCGTACAGGTGCTAAGATCCATAGGTGTGTAAGGGAGCTTGGAAGTAGAGGTCACAGAGTCAAGCCTGGATGAATCAGTCCTCGGGTCGATTTCCTAGGCTGCCTTTTGACACTACCCAAACACTTTGGGGGCTTAGTTGCTTTTAACCATGAGAACTCGAAAACCATTTTTATTTAAAATACATAAAAGTCAGTATCAATAAACCCAAGTTCTGTGCCAGATTCTACACAAAATCCCAAGAGTTCCAGGGGCATAGCTGATGGGTATGCTCCAGCCTAGCACATAATGACAAGGTATGGGAGATAAAAGGATACCAGCAAGGCAGAGGCTTGTTTAATAATATACATTATTGAGACTTAGGAAGTGGAACCTGCAAGGGCACAATGACACAGTCATCAGAAAGTAGGTCAACCTTTGGCACTGCGTTAGTGAGGTGAAGCAAAATAAGTCTTACATCTCAGCATGAGCTTGACTATAATAGCAACATTCAGAAGTCATTAGAGCATCTAAAATTGAAAACAAATAGTTTTTTTTTAAAAAAAAATCTTACTTCATTTCAGATTCATAATTAATGTTTATATAAGGTACCAAGAGCCAATTATATAAAGTTGACATCAAGGATACTTGTTCTCCTACTCAATAAAGATACTTTTCCATCAGGTTTTTTTCTCACACCAAATACTTATAAAATACTTTACACCAAGATGCATACTAATGCTCTTTTGGATAATAGGCTGTTTCTGCAAAGGATCTCATCATTATCTTGAGCCACTGAGCATTTCAAGGACTCATTTACCTCCAAATTTCAATGACAATCTCTTTTAACATACCTAACTTAAAAAAATAATAATCCTAAATTGTGAATCTAACATTACAGGCAGAGCTTTTCCCAACAAAATGGAAATCAAAGCAGCTAACAGATTCAATTGAAGCACTCTGAACAGCAGAACTATTACATGCTTATTTTGGACTGGATCATATCCACTAGTAAAACAGTAAATAAACAAATTCATTGATATAATATGAAGTACAGAAAATTCTATAAAACAAGTGCACTGATCTGGATTGAGAATATTATTTTAAAATGACATTACAAATCTGGGAGTTTCTTATCTGCAAAAGTCAATGTTTCATAACATAACCCTAAATGGGTAAAATGAACATTGGAGATTTGGAAAGAAAACACTAACAAACAGTTTGGAGATCTGTTTTCTGGTAGAGGCATTAAAACTTACCAACAGACCAGAGCAGACTTCTCAATGGACAGATGCTAATTTTTCAATGCTTCTAAATTGTTCCTGTATAAGGAAACCAGATTATTAGTGCAACTATCAAAGAGAAGAGGTTCTTTTAAGACCTATTAAACCAAAGCACAGAACCTTATTTTTATAATCATCAGACAACATCCTCTAATTTAGGGATGAAAACCCTTTTTCAGCCAGAGGGACACAGTCACTTCTGGACCACAGACCTGAAGTTCCTCACCCCGTCTTAAATAGAGAATCTCTTTAAAAATGTACTGAAAATATTTACCTTTCACTCCTTTTCCAGTCCTGGCTCAGGCTTGTCTTATACTCCTTGTTGCTCTGATGCTTTTCTTTGTTGTTACCAATTTGTGTTTCAGATTGTTATATGTATTTCCTATTAAAAGAAATAATGATCTGAGACGACTCTGGAGTTCTGTTTGTGTATACTTTACATGGCAACATTTCTCTCTTTTTTAAAAATAAAACCATTTAGGAATACGAAACAAGGATAAAACAAAAAGAGGCCCAACCACTAATACACTAATAGCCTAGAAATGCCTGTGTAAACTGATGTAGGGTTTTTTCCCCCGAAGGCAAGTCAAAACCTGACAACATTATGTTTAATGGGCCTCTCTTGGAGAGCATTCTGCAACTGGGTTTCTTCCACTGTAAAAAGCCCCACTCCACCCTCCAGCAATTCTTAATTCACAGGAACGCTGAACATGGAGAAAATCAGCAGCCTCCAGCACTTGTGAAGGTTCATATGGGGGAAAAACAGCAAAAAAATCTGGCAAGGAGAGTGAGAGGGAATCCTATCAGCAACACCAAGACCTGTTGCTTCCTGGTGCAGAACTCTGACCAGTGAAACTCAGGTGCTTCTTCAACATTTATTCAGGGTGTTTTCCCAATTCCCCCTTAACTCTAAATGCTGTATCTCCACTCAGTCTAACACACAAGCAGGAAGCTGTCAGAAAGTTGGTAAGCACCGGAAATCGTGACATAATTAAATAAGAAAGTGGGCTCGCCACAATGAACTGTACAAAACAGGGTTGCCACCTCCCCTCCCCCATGACTGAGGCTTTGAACAGCAGCCTACAAAACTGAAATTTAAAAGGTGAAGCTCTTCCCAGTGTATTAGGGTCATAATGAGAAATACATCACATGTTGAATTTCTGAATTAAAAGCTCATGTTGAATTTCTGAATTAAAAGCTCAGATCTGAGGGAGGGAGGAAAAGATTAACAATACACTCTTCAGTTGGTTTAAGGACAGCACACTCCCGGATGGAAAATCCTCTTTTTAAAATCAGCTACATACTAATGGCCGCAATTTATCCCAAGTAAGGCATGGCACCTGTAAGCAGAGAACTAATGTCACTCATCCCTTCCAACTATCCATTGGCACATGAACATGTATCAGCCTGTTGCTGTTAACGGCCCAACCCTGAGATGACTCAGGAGCCATGAGACGAGTCAGTGGTCAGAACCAATGAGTGAGTCAGGGTCAGAGGAGACGCCAGAATAAAAGAGCACTCCAGATCACAGGAAGACCTCAGAAGGAACAGGAAGCACTTTATGCACCTTCCTGCCCCGAAGGATCCAATGGGCAGCCAATCGAGGGGCGGGGTGGGGTACATAGGTGTTTTAAGTCAGTTGGGAAGGTCCTTCACCAAAAAGGTTGCTACCACACGGAACCACGGCTTGCTGATCTGTAATTTGCAACATCAGGTAGGGTGATGCGTCACTGCGCAAATCCTCCACACAGAGGCTTTGCAACCACACACTCAGACTGGCACTGACCCTTACTACATGCTTGGTTACATACTTGTTGGACTACACCTTCCATAATGCCTGATCACTGGCCATACTGGCTAAGGTTGATGGGTGTTGGGAATACAACAACATCTGGAAGGCATAATGATAGCTTCCCCTGACCTGAAGTACCTTGGCAATCTCTTTTTCTTCCCCAAACGGTTGGCTTTAGTATGCATGTCAGGGCTTAATTTGGACCAGCAGATACCAAAGTCTGAGAGAATGTGTGGAATGGATCCATTAATCACGGGATCAAGAAGGATATAGCCACTGTTATGTATGGTGCAGAGGTGATAAAACGGTAAATACACCATTACACGCAAGCAAATAACCATGTGATGACTGCAGTTATCACATGACAAACAGAGTTGCAGTAAGAGCTAGACCGTGGACTTCATTTAAGCTAGACAGTGGACTTCATTCAGGTCCAAAGTTCAGAGACTATCAAACACTATTTCATTTTGTGAAAACTCACCCAGAAAGATGTATATATTATGTTTTCTCTTCTATTTATCAAGAGGTTACCCTTTAACCATTGGAAACCCTAACAAGACAACATTGTGGTTCAAAGGACTACCAGTAATCTGTACCACTAGCTGAAGTCACTGCTGTCAGATCAACCACTCAGAGAATTGAACATTGATAGGACGCTGGGAGGTGGGGAGACTTGCACATAAAAGCTTCTCTTTTTCAGAGAGGGCTGCAGAGAGACCAACACTGCTGTTGGCACTGAAGTCTCAGGAACTGAAACGCATGAAAGACAGTGAGCAAACAACATAAGAGAGAGTGTAATAGCGTAATCAGGATCTCAGTTACAGTCTGACTTCAAATGGAATCACGCCCAATTACAATAGATATTCAGTTTTCATAATCAGTTGTTTGCAATTCCAGAACACAAATACTGTGATTTGCATCTTGAGTGATTTGTATTTTGTGGAATCAACAATTTTGGGCCTGCAGGCACATTTGGCAATCTAAGGAACTGATGTGGGCACCATGAAATACCCATTACAGAAAAGAAAATTGGGCAATGCTCAGAACCCGTTTCCCCACCCTACCCCATAACAAATGAAAACCAGACCAAAAATTTTAGAAAACCAGGCAACTCCCTCACAGCAACAAAAAAAGGTCCCAAACCCCCTCATTTTAAAAAGTAATAAAAGTTTGGAAAAGCAGAAGCTTGTGGCACCTAAGGGAGCCACATTGTGGACCCCTTAAAACGTGCTACACTTTGATACAGAGATGTCATCTTGTACATTAATTACAGTGGTACATCGGGTTAAGAACTTAATTCGTTCTGGAGGTCCGTTCTTAACCTGAAACTGTTCTTAACCTGAGGTTCCACTTTAGCTAATGGGGCCTCCCACTGCTGCTGCCGCACTGCCACTGCGCAATTTTTGTTCTCATCCTGAAGCAAAGTTCTTAACCCCAGGTACTATTTCTGGGTTAGCGGAGTCTGTAACCTGAAGCGTCTGTAACCTGGGGTACCACTGTACTTCACCTATCTAGAGTCCTCCTTTCAACTAGGTAAAGATATAACTAGCGAAATAAAAAACGCAAACGAATACTTGGGGCAGAGTTTCTCTAGACCTCTTTCTGACTGTGTGTTTGCAACAGACCTAATGGTGCTTGAAAGCTGCTAAACTGTGGATCTGAATGGGGTCAACTGACTAGCTAGAGCAGCAGTGAGGAATCTGTGGCCCTCTAGACGCTTTTGGACTCCAACTGTCATCAGCCAAAATGGCTGGTCCCCTACTCATGAGCTAGAAGATCAGCTCACCACCCCTCCAATATTCTTTCGACTTTTAACATGTGGGCTTGTGATGGTGGTGAACTGTGAATTGACCCTGCATTCCCCATAAAAGCGTAACTCTAAAAGTTTGGCTAAGCAGATGGGGTTGGGGTGTTTCTCTACTGAGAGAATCCACAGTTCAAAAAAGTAGTACCTAAGCTGTACAGATGAGTATCACCATCACAGGTGATGTGGTTGGGAAAGATCTCTACCTGAGACTCTGGACAGCTGCTACCACATCTGGTCAACAGTACTGGGCTAAACAGACTGATGGTCTGATTCCTGACATCAGGAGATCTGGAGTGAAGTGCCGTGAACATCCAAGGATGACACCCAGCTCTTTTTTTCTATTCCAACAGAATCAGGAGAGGCAGCTGAGGTGTTAAGACCAATGCTTGGAGGCAATGATGGGCTGGATGTAGGCCAATAAACTGAGGCATAATTCTGAAAAGATAGAGGTATTATGTGTTCCAAATCTGGGAGGTGGGAAGATGGCCTGCGCTGGTCAGGGTTGCACTTCCCTGAAAGGAGCAGGTTCACAGCTTAGGGGTGCTCCCTAAGTTGTTTAAAACTGTTTTTAATATTGTTTTAATTGTTGTAACCAGCCCTGGGACTTTAGGATGAAGGGCAAGTAATTAATAATAAACAAAAATATAACACAGTTCAATAGGTATTGAAGTGCAGGTGGGTTCAGGCATGACCCAAAACCGAGATTCAGCTCAAAAAGGATTTATTGGAACATCAAGAATAAGAAGAACAAGAATGACAAACATGGACACTTGGCCCAGTATATGTACCTTAAGCCAGCCCAGGCAAAACACACACACCACCTGTGATAGGTCACTTTAATCCTGCAATTAGCAAATCACAACACTGGCCCTATCTCAGCAGGGATTGACAGCCTGCCAGCTACAAACAATGTCATTGGACTGTTTTAAAATCCTCTCTGTCTTTTGTTATGCAGATGAAGCTCCTGAGCTACAGGAGGCCTGAAGGCCGAGGCCTGCATTGCATACATACAGCCTACAATGCCTTCATACATATCAGGTACAGTATATCATTACTATGTTTGTCCAAAGCTCAACAACTTATTCCTGTTTGTTTAGATACAATTTAGAAGATCTGTCACCAAATTTAGAAAATTGTAAACACTGAGCTACACTAGTTGCAATTAATTAATCAATTAAATCTACAACACAAGCATACTTTCTTTGCTTGCAGCTGCAGGCATTATCTTAGAAAAGGTGTTCTATATGAGAGAAAGTGGGGAATAACCTGAAGGGAACAGGATAGCCTGAAAAGGCTACAAACCCTTTAAGATGGCAATTGTGCCCTGCAGTTTTTATAAATACTTTCATTAAAAGATTTTTTAAAAATAAAATGAGTCTGCTGCCCAATCAACCAAAGGCATGTTTCCAATTGATTAAAATGTTTGATCAGTTAACCTATCCAATTAAATCGAATAAAGGTTAAAGCCCTACAATGGCATGCATTTGTCAATTATTTCCATCACCATATATACCATGTAATAGGTTTGAACTATAAACTCCAATCACTTTCCAATATAGATTAACACTTGCAGAGTACTGGATAAATTAGAAAATCTTAGTCTTCAATCCAAAAAAAGAGGGAACAGGATTAACAACAGTGATCCTGAAGAAGCAGAGACTATTTGGACTTTAATCAATCCTTTGTGCAATGTTTTAAGCTTGCAAGGATCCCAGGAGCAGCCCTGTTAGATTCAGTACAATCAGGTACTATACATAGCTACAAGAGGCCAAGAACACAGTGA